ACTTCACTCTTTCACATTGATGGTCAGTCACACAAACAAAAAGAGGGATGAGATGAGTTTCTCAGGGGAGTGAGGATAATAAAATCAGGGTGTCTGTGTGTCCTGAGAGGGGGCAATGTTTGATGCTCTAACAAAATGAAGGTCTTTGGCGGCCCGGCCTGGCAGTCTTTTAGCTAAAGCAAGCAGATTTCTTTGAAGCCTGGCCACCTTGGCTGAAGAGCCATTACTCCCGGGCTTTTCTATACATTAACCATGCTACAGCAGCACAAGTGCATTACAGGCTGCCGCCCCGGCAGGGCCCAATTGTACTCCCTCTTGTTAAATATTACCCCAACAGAGCTTTTGATTTTATTTTCATTTTTTTCTTCCCCATGCCGCTTATCCTCCTCTCCTCCCACGATCAGATTAGGATCGATTGCCGCGTGGCAGAGCTGGCCCAGACATGAGGACCAGAACAACGCTACAGCGTGATTGTGCTCCTCAGGCCCCGCCTTGGAGACTATTCAGGCGACTAAATAGAATGATTTGCCCTTAGATGTCAAATTTCCTCCGAGACAAGGATGTCAATACCAATTAGATTGTCTGCAGTTGCCGTAGTTACGCCAGCCTGCCCCACACACCACTGCCGCCACCATAACCTCTTTCACTCTAAAGATACACTCGCTCTCTTTTAACATCTCACTCACATCTCTTTTTTGTAGGCAGAGTGGTGGTCTCGGCACCAAGCCTTTAGCCTCAAATCAGTTTTATGACTGGCGCTGTGCAGACATTAGGCTAACTCCATTAGCCTCTCTGAAGGAGATGGCCTGAGGGGATACTGAGGGGCCAAGATGGGACTGGGTCGGGGGTGTGTGCGTGTGTGTGTGTGTTTGTGTGTGTGTGTGTGTGTGTGTGTGTGTGTGTGTGTCCGTCTGTGGTGCTAGTGTGTGTGCATACGTGTGTGCATAAGTGTGTGCGTGCATTTGGTGAAAGGGTGAAGGGGCAACATTGTCTTACAGAGTCTTCTGGCATCTCCTTAAAGGTCACTGTCTGCTGGTCGGAGGAGGCAAAAGCCCACTGGAGCAAGAACATAAACAAGAAAGAGAAGTGGGCAGAAAATGGATTAATGAACAAATGTAATTAGGAGAAAGGGTGGATGGAGAGAGTGGGAGAGAGGACTCTGTCTCCACTTAGTATCGTGGCTCCTGCAGGCGCTTAAGTGCTAACATGACAAACAGATGTGGCCATGGCTGGCCAGACATACGACTACACACACACACACACACACGCAAGCATACAAATACATCCGCACATGTACAAACACACATACTACTGTTTTTTTTACTTGCCGTCTCTTTTTCGGTCTTCTAAAAATGAACACACAAAATTCCGAAAAATATGATTCGATTTAGCGACACAGATCGTTTCATCGTCTTCAGAGTTATTCATGGAAAAAAATGTACATGTGACAGGACGGATACACATTTACGACAAACAAGTTCACAGAGGATGACCACGTCTGCGTCTCAGTGAGGTCATCTTGTCTGGATTTCAGCATAAAACGGCCGCTGGTATGTTATCAAAGCATAAAGGAGGCATCCTCGCTGTGTCGACAAAGCTCTCTTTGCTTCAATTAAAATTAATTGACTGGTTCTCTCACAGCAATTTTTACATCAAATATTTATGTTAAGGACTGCGTTGAGTGATTAATATGTGTATAACTTCCTCCTGTTTAGTTTACATCGTATTTGCTGCAGGAATATGAAACCTTATACTTTGTTTTCCAGGTTTCAATTAACATCTACAGGCACCGCTAACTTCTGCAATTTACTAAATCAATAACTTCCCAGAAGAGCTTCCAAGAAAAAATAAATCGTTGCATTTTTCAGTTGTTTACTGTCACCAGTTAAAAATAAAGACGAGGGAACCTTTTCAAGAGTAAGTGACGATATTAAATTGCAATAATTTAAATATTTACATCCATTTTTAAAATTTAAAGCAACTTATTTGATCCACTTTCTTAAATGTTTGAGATGGTACAAGTGACTTCACCGTTTGCAGTCCTTCATTTTCCTGTCAAAGGCACACTGTGCACAGCCAGCAGACACTTGCAAACTAACGTAAGCCATGATTGTGACTGCAAATCTCCTTCTTTCAACACTTTTCTCCTCTTTTCGGAGGGCAACCAGCAATGCACGATCAATTAAGCGCTGAGGAATGGAAACAGGACTTGCATTTTGAAGTTGGTTTAACCTTGCAGTGACACCTATTGCAGATGCTTTGAAATGGTTGAGAAGAATAGTTTCCGCATGGTGGAATCTGCAATTAAGCAGCAACATCTGCACCAGCAGCAGCAGCACCCAAGCATCCCCCCCCGACCACCCCCCGCCCCAACCATCCAAATCTGGCATTCTCCGAGCTTGGTATTGGTTGGCGGCCAAGACAAACATTTCCCACAACATAACTGTGAATAATTTTCTGAGATGGATTTCAACTGGGCAATTAGAAGAATTTCAACTGTGAATATTTCAGGCATGCCACGCATTTCACTGCTCAATCAATAAAGAAAAGGGACAGAGCGAGGGAGCGAGGGAGACGTGGATACGAGTCACAGAAGCGAGGGGCTGAGCGAAGTGAAGAGACAAAGAAGGGTAAACAGAGGGGACGATGAAAGAAGGGGAGGAGAGACAGTGACAGCCGTGAGACAGAAATTTACAACCAGATCATCAGTTAACCACTCCAATCACAATGGATCAAGCCATTAAACGGGCATTTTTATCCAAACGACCTCCTGACTGACAACGACTACAGATCACGAGCTCGTATCGATGGCCGACGGAACACCGAGCAGTCCCAAACTCTTGAGAGGTTCACTGTTTGTCAGTTAATTCAGCACATGTAGTCCGGAATAAAGCGAATGCCTGCCCTCTCAACTTACGCACGTCTCATTAAATGAAATCCAGTTATTTCAAGCTGCAAGACGAATGCCTTCTGCTCTCAAGTTGGCATGTTTACCTTGCTCTCGTTTTTCTTGTGCTGAATAAGCACAGAATGTGACCATTAAATATATTGCTGATGGAGAGACAAGGGGAGGGAAACATCAATATTAAAGTGAACTGGAGTTACTGCCGTCTGTGTTACGTGACAGGCTATCCCTGGGTGACATCAGCGCCAGGTTAGATAAAGGATATGTCGTGAATTTACTTGTAAATCAGAAGCAGAAACAAGTTAAATTGCCAAGAAAGTTGCACAAAATTTGCCTCGGTGCTTTGGGGCAAAGTGAACAAAAGTAACTAGAGAAGGTACAAGTCAAGAATTATAAATGTAAAATAGAAAAGTTACAATATTTTCAGTTTATGATTCTTAACTTTTGCTGTTTTGTTGTATGTGTGAAGTGTGGATTATGAATGTAAGCATGCGATTTAACAATATTTCTGTCAGTTTGCAATCTTAGCAAGTCTAATAATATCAGAATCCGCTAACGTTCTGGGAAATTGAATTGGTTTATTGGTTGATTCAGCAAGCACTTATCCCTTTAAATCTATTGAAAATCAAAATTGAGGAAAAAAAGCTCATATTTACTTCCCCATTATCAATGCAATTAGCCTCTGTGTAATGAAAAGAACATGTGAAACAAAAGGACCTTTGGACATGGCATACTCCATAAAATCCTACTTTCAGCACCTCTGAAATTAGACCTAAAGTCCCCCCAGAGGGGCTATTAGATGACAAATCCTTGCTATTGACCAGGTTCTGCCCTCTGCTTGCTCATGACTGACGTCCCAACCTCTTTGATGTCCCTCGCCACAACAACATCAGCTCCACTTCCTTTCCTCGACCAGGACAAAATGTGAGTTGCACCTTTTAGGACACCCCCCCGCAAAAAAAAAAAAAATAGCAGGAGAACGTTTAAAGGAGGAAAGGGGACCCACAACATTCAAAATAAGCCAGATGTTCACGTCCCTCTGCTTACATGTGGAGACATGCGCTTGCCGTGGGCCTGCATTAATGAAGGTAGAGATCCATCTGGGGGTGCTGATAGGCTTGGGGATGCTGTGTGATAGGCCGTGGCGCATACACACACTCACCCGGTCACATGTGCTAGCAATAAGTTAGCCTCGCTGCCACTCTGGTCAGAAAAACAGATGGAGCCGTGCTGAGGATCTTTTATCGAGATGGGCAATGGAAGGAAAGGCCTGAGAAAAGAAGAATACTCGATAGAATTGCTGAGAGTTTAATTCTTTTTAAATGAAATACAGCATGAAAAATACATTAAAGTCATTGTTTGCTCCAAAACAGTTGTGATGCGACTCAACTTTTCATATTGTTTGTTTTGCCTAACTTTAAAATCAAACACTAGTAGTTGTCGATTGTTGCTTATTTTACTTTACATTTTAAAAAAAAATAAAAGTTGTACTTGAACTTTTGTTCTCTTATTCAGGTTTAAAACAGTTAATGGTATTAGATACATGCATTTTCTCATTCAAGAGGCAAAATAACAATAAAACAACATGAAAACATTTTTTTTCAAGCCTCCTTGGCAATAAAACCTCCAACCTCAACTGAAAAATACAGGTGTACACAACTAATTCATCCATACGTTTTATGTGTATTGTGTGCAGCTGAGTACCATCTCCACAGCGCTCGCTGCAGAAAATCTACTTTCATTTTTCAACAGTGGAATAACACAATGATGGATAGAAGGTTCAAGGTTAATATTTAACATACTCAGACTGCCCATTAAATCATAATGCTATTTTCATGGACATTAATTATGCTAATTTAAAATTCATTACGCTACTTGGCCAAAAAATGTGCCATCTCAGCAAAAGAAGAAAGATTTTTTTTTTTCTTAACACTCCAGCTTCGTCTCTTTGTATTAAATAAATCAGTTAATATTTAACTACTGGTTATATATGGCCTTTTTTTTATTGTTAGGGTTAGCATAATTTGCAAACTAAACAACATCAGGTGCCTTAACATTTGGTTGCCTGACTGGGATAAATAAAGCACTGGCCTACCTGCACGTCTGCCTGTCTAGGTGAGTCTTGGTTGCTCGACCTGTTCATAAAAAAAAAAGAAAAGAAAAATCAGAGGGATTTCTGCAGGGTTCAACTCACATGTTAAGAAGGGGATTACTGAGCTGCCCTGGTATTGCTTTGGCTCTAAGAGTTTGTTTGTTTTGCTGTACGATTTGATTATATCACAGCAGATAGTAGCGCATTTCAGAGGCACTTTAGGCTAATTACGGATCAGTATACGGAAGAAGTTACAGTATGTATATGGTGGCGTGACTCACGTCTCTGTCACGGCGGTATCACTCGTAGGCATTCAGCCGAGCATACAGAATATACAGCACGTCAAAGTTGTCAAAGTTCTCCGCATTTTTAACTGAGAGGCGAACTGTGTTAGCAGCAAAGAAACAGCCGTGCGTACGTATTAGCATTTCAAAAAGAGAAAGAACTGTACGATAGGTGAAGGAGGTGAAGAGAAGAACAGGGGAGAGAGCGAGGGGAAATGTAAAGACTCCGTGGAATGCTCTTGCGTGAACTGCAAATGAACCCCTAAACCCCAATCTCCACCTGACAAAATCTGTTCTTTGCCCTGACACACAACCACAAAGCGCTCGCAGCCAGCATGCAGGAATGCCATGTTCTCTACAGGCTTTAAAATATAAATATTTCTTTCCCAGGTAGGGCTGCGGAAAGTCGCAATCCAACAACTGTTTAGTGAATGTTTTACCAATCTGGTTTTTATATTTGTTTGACATGCACTAAGATGGCACAAGGGGAGTGTTGACAGTTTGAGATTAGGTGTGCTTATTTTGGGAAAACATGCCAAAACTATTACCAAAAAACAAAAGACTTTACGATTATTAAGTCGCGGTTTGAAGTGACCCAAAGAAAAGGAGAAAAAACTCATGCTGCCGTGACATTTTACCATCTAACATCTTCAACACCTCTGCGGTGCGCGACCGCATTGTTGGCTTTCTGATCTCTCGTCAGCTGTCATCAGTGACACACCACATTAGGCTGCAACCGAACTGAGGTAATGATAACCACAGTTGCATGCTTAGAATGGTATTTAAGAAGCCTAATGCTCTGTTTGTTTTCCTATGTGCTCTCTCAGAGGTGCTCTCAGCCTGGCGAGAGTGTCGTGATTGGTGTGTTTTTTTGTCTGTGTGTGTATGTTCGGAGACACTCCTTCTCCTAAGCTGGGCAGGCCTTTTTCCTCTCTCTCTATATTCTGTCTCCCTCCTTCATTCAGTCACTCACTTTCCCTCACTCGCTCTTTTCTTTCCCTTTTTTACTTCCCCTCTTTATGTCTGCTTGTTTCCTCCTCCTCCTTTCTTCTGCCTCTCTCCTCCCACAGGGGCTGTATGCATTCCTGCCAGGAGGGGCGGAGGTGTCTGTGATCCGGGCTCGATAAGGACCAGACCTCCCCTCCACGCTACCCTCCCTCGTGTTCACCCTCACCCCCTCCCTGGGAAAATGGGTGCACCCTCCTCCCTGGCAGGGCACCGACTCCCCTTTGAGTGTGCTGCCAGCCATGGCAGCAGAGCCTTAACATGATTTGTTTGTCTGCTGCTGCGTGTTTGCACCAAGCCCCAGCACCAACCCCCCCACCCCCCATTACTCCTGCCAGAGATCCAGGAGGCTGGTTAGCTGGTACGGATCTGGAGCGAGGCTGCTCGAGGCTGGGGGTGCGGGGTTAAAGGGGTGTTAAAGAGGGTGAGGTAAGGATGGTGGGGGATGCATAGGGGTTAAAATAAGTTTGGAATACAATCCACATGATGGAAACATTCAACATTTCAAAGTAAGTCAAGCTGGAACGGGCTGGATAACAAGAAACCACGCACATGCACACACACTGACACACACACACACACACACAAAACTATTTCACTAATCACTCAGTTTGCATTCACAAAGATTGAGGGTTTTGTCATTCCTCCTTTTTTTTTTTTCTCCTGGTGTTTTGTAATTGGCTCGCTTCCTGGTGCAGTGGCAGACAGCAGGCACAGCAGCGGCTGCCCAGCCGGCCCATTGATCTTTCATCAGCCCATAGAGTTAAAGCTGAAGGCATGAGGGAAAGGCTGGAGAGGCAGCCCCTCTTTTTATGGCAGCCCGCTGGAGCCTGCCTAGGATTGTTCCCTGTTTCCTCAAATTGTTTTTCATTTAGTCAGGGTGCAGCGCTGTGCTGCTCTGAGGAGGTGAGGTGGAGTGTCGCAGACATTTAGGGGAGCACGTAACGGCTTCAGTCTGGGTCGCTGGATACAGTGGGATAGCAGGACTCAACATTTTAGTTTGTGTGTTTTTGGCTGTATGCGTTACTTTATATCTAGGGTTGTGTGACATCTCTATATTTTGCGTTCCAAAGCACAGATTAAATGACCCAGAGGCCTTTCATACACAAGGTGTTGATGGCAGTTGATCTGTAGGATAATAAGAGATCACACATGGATGTGCATTTTAGAGCATAATAAAGAAATCAGGTGTTCCATCCAGCAAATAAACTCAGATGACAAACAGCAGCACCACCAATTCACTGGAAGATATATAGTATATTACAGTGTTTCACTTCACAATATTTCTTTCAGACTATTAATCAAAAAATATTTCACAAGACTAAGAAAAAGCACCAAGAGCTCTTAACACAAATCAAATTTCACTTAAGGGGCTAAAATTACCTTGATCAATTTGCATGAAAGCCATGGTAGTGGTCAAGTCATCCACGTGACATCCAATCAGAGGGTCTAATCAGTATGTGGGTGTGGTCCGCTATATCCCCAACAGTATTCCATTGATCTGAGCTCCGGCACTGAGCTGCAGCGGTCATGTAGGCCCTAACTTGGTCATCTAACTGATATGTGATATTAGGATCCTTCTTCGAGGCAGCTCCACAGGGATCTGGTCAGAGAGAGGAGAGAGAGAGAGGGAAACAGACTTCAGATCAGCAGATCAATTTTCACTGGACTTTGAATATTTCATGTCGGGAGTCTTGCAGACAGACACACAGATGGGCTACATAACAACAACAACTCCATCCAGTCACACACACACACACACACACACACAGCTGATTGTGTGTGTTTAAAAATGTTTACAGTTAAGTCATGCTTTCCCTCCGATTTCAACGTACAAGAAAAAAAACCCTTAAATTTTACCTCCTAGCAACAAAACTACACAAACTACCCTGATGATCACCTTATTCATATGAAACATTTAATGCAATGCTCCAACAAAATCTCAGTGGGAAGATGTTGCGCAGACACACTCAAACACACATCGCCACTTCATCCAAAGGGCCGGGTTAGAGGAATCATGTCTGGATTATGTTTCTAGTCCCAGCGAACATGTGGTCGATGTGAAGCTGTGATACTGTGACTCAGCCGCGGTCCTGAAAGTGGACACAAAGGGACAACATGCTCATTTGTTCCTTTGTACATTTTGAGTATTCAGTTGTCTTTTGTCATTTAATTCCCACTACATAAAAATTTTGGGAGCATAAATGTCAGATATGTCTAAAGCAAAACTTAAATTACACCCTGCGTTAAAAACAGACAGTAAATCTATCCGGAGTATCAGCAGCAACAACGCAACAGGACGACACGCTCTCGCAGCAATAACCCACACCTGACCCCTAAACCTTCACCCACAGAAAGGATGTTGTTTCACCGACTGTCTTCAAATACTTTCCTCTCGGAAAGACATCAGTGAAACCAGAGCTTGTCAGGCTCTGTATTTGTTTATTAAGTATGCTCTTGGACTGGCTTACTCCCAGGATGGCTGTAACTGAGAGATTTGTTCATGTAGGCATTAGGGCTGGCTATCAGTGGTGAATTATTTATTGAAAAAAATCTGCCTTTCCTTGACGGATGAGAGAATATGTAGGACTGCTCACTGACTCTGCCATATATTAAAAGGACGATGAAAACATTGTTAAGCACTGCACATTGATGCTGAATTTAGAAGGGGAGGGGGGAAAAAAAAGCGGAAATCTTTATTTTTGGACTAAAATATTGACAGTGAAAGGTGTTGTTATAGAAACACAATGACATGATACAGAGGCACATAGGACAGGCAGTGTGTTTGCCATTACACACTGAAATTAAGCAAAAATAAACAAATGTACCATGTAGATTTAATTTTTAAAAAAAGACTAAATACTGCATTATTTCATGTTTGACCATTAAGGATCCAGAAGTCATCAGACCTCTTGTGTTCTGTGCTTTACACACTGCTTGTTACTTCAAATCTCTCCCAAAGCTGTGTCAGCTTGTCAGTGCCTCGTTAACATGTTTGATTGATGTGTTTTTTCATACTATCGTCCAAAATAAACATGTTAAACGTTAGTGAGTAGCTGTGTATTCCCACCGACAGGACCATCAGGGATTCCACAGTGGAGAATCAGTGGTCGCAAAATATGCACTCAGTGGAATTCCCCCAACACCTATTTTTGGCCATGATAAAAATGTAAACACGAGAAAGGACACGGGTCTCATAGAACTGGACAGCAAAAAAAAAAAATAAAAATTCAGTTACCTCTGATATCTCCCCTTGCCAAATTTAAATCACAAATGATTTGTTCAAATCAGAATAAATCACATTTGGTAATTTTCTCTGCCCTCTTTATTATGTTAGTTTTTGTAGTCTGCAGTAGTGAAAGAAAAAGAGACAGGCGGAGGGGCCTGGCTATTGTCATTCAATGGCCGAGCCATTTTGGAAATCACCGCTCTCTGTTTGCTCCTGCTGCCTCCCTCTCCGTATTCCCTTATGGCTGCACTAGATGGAAGGCTTCCTTTTATAATTTCCAAGTTGCACACATGCAGCCAATCCCCCTCCTTGTCAGAAGAACAGGCACATGTGAAATGATTGAATGGGTCAGTGATGGATGTTAAAAAATGAAGAGGAAGCTGCCCGAATATATACATTAACTTACAGAATGCATATAAATAAAACTAATTGTTTAAAATTTGAAAAACAAAATACATGCTGGGATCTCCCAGGAGAGTTCACAGCTACATCTTGGTGTTTACGTTAAAAACTCCTCCATTACCAGGAGGGGCTAAAAAAAATCTAACTATATAGTGACCTGTGCTTACACTCACTCAGCAAATAATCAATCATGTTTATTTAACGTCTTTAAACAGGGATTTTTGCTGAGGATTAAATAAAAAAATCAAGGGAAACCACCATCTTACATACGGAGGGGCACCTTTTAATCCTGATTTATGTGATGCTCAGGTAACATTATCTGAAATAAACTATATTTTGTAGGATATAAATCGAGTTAATATGGCATGTGGGGGCTTTGTAAGCTTCAGATCTAATTTGAATAAAATCACCCTGGCCCTGTGACCCATGCTCGTCTAAACAGTCCCACATTGTCACACAAAGAGCCACTAAAAGGGGGCCCATGACCCATTTTGTGTCTTGGCCCATATTTCAAGAATAAAGTATGATGCAAACATTGCTATCAGTGAGTCAGCATCCTCACTGTAAAAGAAGAAAGAAAGAAAGAAAAAAAAAATAGACACCAGAGAGCAAAGAGAAGAAAAAGGCCAGCGCCTAGAATTTAAACAGATTAGCAACATGAAACAACCGAATGAACTAGAAAACTCTGCGTAAAATCCGAGATATTTATGGAGGAGCTGAACACATGGAGGCTGACAGTCTGGTGCCTTGAAGATCTGTTAGAGAGCAACCTAAATGTGAAGGCTTTAATTTGCAAAAAAAATCAGGCAGAACCTCCACACTGACAGTCTTACACCGAGGGAGATTATTCTCATCAATAGGGCATGAAATTCACTGGCATGATCACAGGACACTCTGCCTGTTCCAAGGGCAACAAAGTGACCAGTGAAGTTATGTGCCAGGATCTGTGGCTATGCATGTGAGCTGGGCATCAGTGAGAGAGGAGAGAAAAGGTGTGTGTGTGTGTGTCCATGTGTGTGTGAGACAGAAAAACAGAGGCAGGTATTTGTGTTTATTTTCATGTGTGTGTGGCTTTGTCTTTTGCTAATGAGTGGGGCTTTTTCTGGAGTTTTAAATAGAATTTTAAATTGCGTGCAGCTGAATGTTGTGCCACAATTTCTCTATTTTAACACTTAAACTGGAGCCATCACACACACTCTGTATTTTCAGACTTATTCTCATCTCTCTGTGCACAAAGCCAGGAGGTGATTTGATTGGAGCGATGATATGCATGAAGGAGAAAATACAGACAAATCATCAACCTTGTAAGGTGTCTGAAAGCGCTGTAGTGAATGCTGGAAGGACAGGGTTTAAAAAGTACAAAAAAAAAAAAAAATCAAGAGCTCGGGGCTGATTATAATGAACTAACGATGACACTGCTTCTGCTGTAAGGTGATGAATGGATCTCACCAAGTTCAAAGGTTTGGAGGCAGAGCTATGCACGCACATTACTCTGGGAAAACGAGAGAAAAGAGTATTTTAAGGATACTTGAACATGCTGTAACAACCATACATAGCCAGTGTAGCAGAGTGTCTGAGCCTGCAGAATGACAACCCTCATCAGTTATGAAGAGGAACGCAGCAACAGGTAAAACAGGGGTCAAAACAACTTGGTACGGTCCATGCGTTTACAGCCTGGTTATGATGTGGGGCATGTAGAGACTTATATGCAGTTTGGAGTGTTTTTGTTGTTGTTGTTTTTTTATATATATATATATATATCCTTGCCTGTGAGATGTTGTTCTATAATTACCCTTTCAAATTATCACAGCTTTACGGTGCATCTTTAAATAGTCCGCTGAAACAACACATTCAAAAGCTGTTTTGTGGTTGAAAGAACTGTGACTCGTTATCCTGTTACAAATGTCCATCAGCTGTCTCCCAGGAGCCTGTCAAACCCGCAGCACTGACATCAAACGCTCGTCAGCATTTACATGATCGGGAAGTGTCCAGGGAAGTGTGTGGAAATGACTGAAAAATGATGACCAGCCCCTGCTGCTGCTGCTGCTGCCGCCGCCGCTGCAGAGGGCTGCTGGACGTATCCTGCCTTCTGCGTGGGGTATGTGCGCCAGGCGCCGAGGAGAATAATCTGTTTACAGTGTGTGCGTTGATGGTCATTTTTTATGATGTTGTTTAATCCACATTGGAGGAAAGAAGAGGAGGGGGAGGTGGGCTTTATGCAGCAGAGCCCCAGACAAGCTGGCTCCAGTGGCCATCTCTGTAGGCTATGGGCTTCTCTATTTGAACAGGGAGACAGGTGTAAATCTCTCCTGCGATCTTTACTCTGCACTCTGCGCGACACTCACCTGAAGGTAAATAAATGGTTTATGACCAAGTAAATGAACCACCTCTCTCGTTTTGTGGGCTCGTGCGCAGAGAAAGAACAGCCCCCGCGGGGTGGATGTCATTGTCATGCGCGGAGGTGTACAGGAGGAAAAAATGGCCATTGTGTGGCCATGTAAAGTTTACGCAATAAAAAGCTATTTAAAAAATACTGCAGGAAACGTATTACGCAACGAGCTTTAGTGTGAATAACTTTATAATCACTTTCAAAAATACACCTTTAATATATTACAAGCTGTTACTTAAATTAAAAAATAGAACTGAGTGCGCAAAAGCTTCCTTAAAAGATTTTACGCACGCAAAAAGTGCGTAAAGTTGAGATAAACGCATGAGGTTAGAATAAATTAAAGTTGGCAAAAAAATATAAACAAAAAATAAAAAATGATGCAACATTTAGAGAGGATAATGACAATGTATTGGCTTTTTTCCTGCGGATGTGCGTGGTAATACTCTCGCGTGTAATTATTCTAAATGGATTGATACCCAAAGGTGATCTCGGGATCACATCGACACGCTGTCTTAACACCCTACGTCACGCAAAGT